GAAGGTCTAACATACCTGTAGACAGCTATCAGTTTAGATTTCCATTTATCTTAATGGCAGTTCCTCAAGATGCAGCTCAAAAATACGTAGCCTGGATGCTGACACACATGGACCTGCTTAGTACTAAATCGGTAAAAAAACTTGACAATTAAAGTGTTAAAATCATATGTGACATAACCAAAGCTGTAAATGGTCAAATTAAACATTTGGAGTTCTATATTTCTTCAATTAGCTTGCAAGCTAACAGTTAGCTGACTTCCAAAGCATGCTGTTAGTTTAATATATTTTTAACTTATTGGATTGTTAGCTTAGCATACTGTTATCAGTTAGCCTCTTAGCTTAGCATACAGTCAACATATTAGTCTGTTCGATTAGCATACAGCTACCCAAATCAATGCCAGCTTAGATATCACTGCTACAAAAGGAAAACAAAAAATGTTGATCATCTAAAAGAAATCACAACTAAAAGGATTAATTTTTGAACAGGCTTTACAAACAGTTACCTCTTGGGGTCCAAGAGGAGAGTTTTTTAAGCCAGTCACCTGTGATGTTTATGTTTACTCTATATTTGAACTCCTTGCAGCAGACAGGGAGAAGTCAAGAAGGCAAAAAATGTGTCATGTTTTAAGGATGAATAATGTTTAAGGATGTATAATTTTTGCTAAAATACAAGGCAAAAATACTGGTTTAGAAAATGTTGGCAGTGGATCAGAAGGTGGTTCGTGGTCTGAAACATTTGGAAACCACTGTTTTGGGGTTACAAAAGCTGTGTGTGCTGCCTAATTAACTTTTGTGACTTCCTCTAACCTCACTCCGATGCCAATTAATTTTCACAGAGCCAGAGTTTGTGGGATCGTATTCTATCCCTGACACACACAGCTTGGACGATGACAAAGTCTACTTCTTCTTTAAAGAGACCGCCGTAGAGTCCAACCAGCTGGACAAGCGTATCTACAGTCGTGTGGCTCGTGTCTGCAAGGTGAGCGCCAAGTCCAATGCCGTAATGAGCCAATAAAAACAGGAAATGGATCCAAAAGACCTTTGTTTGTTATGAAGAATCAATGAGTCTTTTGTAGACATTAATGAATAGACATGTAAGCCTCGGTAGCATCTGTTGCACAGTAGTAGAAGCACTGTGTATCTAATAATGGATGAATGAGGGGTTTGTTTCAGAGTAATTAAACACTAATCTAGTAACAAATCTAGCAAACTAGGTTTTCAGTTCAGGCTTTTCATGTCAGAGCATTCTTAAGATGCTTTATATATTTAATTCATTTTATAAAGGCTGGAAAACACTACACAACTTTTGCACAGATTTTTGCCACAATTTGCAGTCTGGTGGAGATAGAAGAGTTGCCAAAGGTCAGAGCCAGTCTGCAGATTTTGGACAGTCAGAGTTGACAGATTTAAAAAAAAAAATTGCATAGTGTATGATGGGAACAGACTCAGAATTTTTAACTTCAGACTATGATTCCATCAAGTGAGAAGATATCAGAAATACTCAATATTTTAAGTCAATTTTAGAACACACATTGTTGTCATTTGTCATGCCTCTTCTAGAAATGAGACACAATGTTTCTGCATGTGTTTGTTGTGTTTGGAAGAATTTAAAAGTTTGGTAGTGTGTTTTTCCTCTGTAACCATTTACAAAAACCAACAAGTGTATGGTGCCTAGTGTTTCAAAATCTGTTCAGATTTTAAAAGTCCTGTAGTGTACAGCTTTACATGTTCTTTGTGTCTCTTGCATTAGAATGACATAGGAGGAAAACGAAGCTTAATTAATCGCTGGAGCACCTTCCTGAAAGCCAGGCTGGTGTGCTCAGTACCAGGATCTGGAGGCATGGACTCACACTTTGACGAGCTGGGTATGTTCACACACTCTAATTATACTTTAAGTCAACATGAACTCAAAAACTCATCCTAGATAGATTTTTTTATTCAACAATCTTGTTCCTTTCTGCTCATTTTTTATTTTTAGAGGACATATTTCTCTTGGAGACCAAAGATTCACAGAATCCAGTCATCTACGGTGTCTTCTCCACTTCCAGGTAAGTTTATTACCTGTAAAGTCTGATTTATGAGTCATTCTTTGGGTCACCACCCCATAATCCTCTTAACTTTTTAGTTAACACATTCCTTTCAATGTTATATTTGTTTATCTCAATTCTTGAATTATCATTGGCTCCATCCAAATCAACCAATCGGTCACACTCATTCCCATTTAACTAACTCTTCAGGTTCTTAGACCTCCCTTGTTTGTTCCAACAACCTAAATCTGTTGATCTCAGTTTATCTTGTGAACTAACATCAGTATCAAAACTCCCGTAAAATCACCAATCTGGTCACAGGATGCTCTCCTCCCCACCCAATCCATTTAAAACAATCTGTCCCGGTGCTCCCACCCGAGGAATGGATAGCTTGAGGCGAAACGGGAGGGTGAAAGGTCACCAAGCTTGAGGAACTCTGTAATTCTAACCTGGCATCAGACCAATATATGTTTCCTTTTCAAAAGCTCCGTCTTCAGAGGTTCAGCCGTTTGCATCTATTCCATGGCCTCCATCCGAGCCGCCTTCAACGGGCCATTTGCGCATAAGGAGAGCCCTGATCATCGCTGGATGGAGTACAAGGGGAAGATCCCTTATCCACGGCCGGGGACGGTAAGTTCTCAACTGGAAGGAATTATGTTTGGTAGAGTAGAGAAGATGATTTGTCATATTGAGTTGCTTTCTTTTGGCAACTTGAAGGACTTCAGACTGTTCAAACTGTAATCTTGGTGTTGTGAGCAAGATTTTAGATCTACAGTTGGTTCTGGATTGCAGATATGTTGGGACAGCTTGTAAACCATGTGGCCAGTTACTCCATGCACTAGCTGCACTACCTCAAGGGGGTTGTAAAAATGTCGGCAGGCACTCTAGGGGTCACGCGTCGGTGCGGTTAATGAAGTGGCTGGAGTGTGGACTCCAGTGAGGTCACCAATAGGAAGTCAATTATCAGGGCTGTGAGGTCTGCTCCATTAGTTGCTAAAGTCATAACCACGGATTGACCACAACTCTGAGGTGACCGTTAAACCCTTTCAAATTCTGGGGTTTAGTGACTAGAACAGGGGTGTCCAGACCTGTTCCTGGAGGTCCACTGTCCTGCAAAGTTTAACTCCAACCCTAATTAAACACACCTGAATCAGCTAATAAAGGTCTTCAGGATTACGAGATACTTCCAGGCAAGTGTGTGAAGTTTTACACAATTACGATCATGAACATATTTTGGACTAATTTCACACATAGTAGTAAAATGGATCTACTTGTGTTTATTTCATTCGGACACCATTCTCTTACCTTTGCGCACATCGTTTGAAGGTCACCATCTTTAGTGGTTTTACAAGGTAAAAGCTGGTAAAACCTTACCTTTGCACAGGCAAGGTTAGTAAGCAAGTTTATCATACTAGATCGTGTTAACGTGTAACATTCCCTACTTTGGGGGGACTCGCTAAACCGAATTGTTCATGACAACTGAAGATTCCTTAAAAACTGCATTTCGCAATATGGGTAAACAAGAATTATGATGTTCAATGCACTATGATCTCGAACAGTGGCCAAAATCCACATCTGCACAAATGTTTTTGACTATTTTTACCTTAGTCTGGGACTGTTAAGCCAAATTCAGTCCCTACAGGGTTCCAGAATATAAGCTTAACTAAAGCTCCTATATCCCTTCAGTGTCCGAGTGAAACCTATGACCCTTTGCACAAGTCCACCCGAGATTTCCCAGATGATGTTGTGAGCTTCATGAGGACCCATCAGCTGATGTGGGAGCCAGTGATGCCCATTCATAGGCGTCCCGTCTTTACTCGGATCAGTGCCCCCTACAGGCTGAAGAAGCTCGTGGTTGATAGGGTTGATGCAGAGGACGGCCATTATGATGTCTTACATCTTGGCACAGGTATGTTGGAAAGTGGTAAACAAAAGATCTACGTTTTCAGTGAATGGGATATTTTATACTAGTAAAAAAGTGTGACAACTAGCGGTTGGTGTTAGCATTAGACCTAAAATTGCACTGCAAATATGGAAATCTGTAAATGCTATCAAAGACGACCTCTGTTCCCACGCTGGTCAGTGGTCCTGTTGCCTGGGATTATTCTGACATTCCGAGGAGCCAATGTTTCTTTTCCTGTCTAACATTTGTTCTCCTGGACTGGTGGGTGAATGCATGAACTCTGCCACATTTAAGTGAATCATTTAGGGCAAATAGATACTCTGTTCAGGATAAATATGCTTAACCGATGTGTACAGAGAGCCAACTCGCAATCTTACTGTGTATAGGACTAGAACAGTGTAACAGCTGTCAGCCCTCAAGGTGCAGCATAAATCCACATGCCGAAAGCCAGTGCTCACTCACCATGGTAACTAAGTACGGGTGCATTATGGGATATATTCAAAGATGGTGCAATTGATGGTTCAGGTTGAAGTTTGATGTGAATATCTGTCAATCGTTCTATCATTCAGTCGTCTTATATCTATCTGTCTGTCTATCTATCTATCTATTGTTCTATCATTCTATCTATCGTCCTATCGTTCTATCATGTATCTATTTAACGTTCTATCTATAATTCTATCGTTCTATCTATCTATCTATCGTTCTATCTATCGTCCTATCATTCTATCATGTATCTATTTAACGTTCTATCTATCATTCTATCTATCATTCTATCTATCGTCCTATCATTCTATCATGTATCTATTTAACATTCTATCTATAATTCTATCGTTCTATCTATCATTCTATCGTTCTATCTATCGTTCTATCTATCGTCCTATCTATCGTCCTATCTATCGTCCTATCGTTCTATCCTGTATCTATTTAACGTTCTATCTATCATCCTATCATTCTATCATGTATCTATTTAACATTCTATCTATAATTCTATCATTCTATCTATCATTCTATAGTTCTATCGTTCTATCTATCTGTCTTAATCATGCATGGTAAATCTTCTGTATCTCCAGATGATGGCAGAGTATTAAAGGTGGTCTCTGTACCTAAAGAGAACTGGGAAACTGAAGAAATCATTCTAGAAGAGCTTAATGTCTACAAGGTAATTTAAAATGAGCTTAGTTTCTTCTCTCACTTGTTTATCGTGCCATCTATTGGACTCATGACCTCTGACCCTGGGCTCTTATTGGTTGTTGTTTTCATGTCAAGCGCTTCCCAAACAAAAATAACTCTTAAAGAAGAAAACCAGATTTCTCATGGCTGTCTACTCAAGTAAACAAACCCAGGAACAGGAGAGGCAGCGTTACACCAAGAATATTGTGTTTAGTGAACAAAAACATCATCTCATTTACAGTGGCGGCTCATGGGCTTTAAAATGGAGGAGGCACACTAATTGTATTGGTCTGGGATCCCTGCCGATTATTATTATTATTATTATTATTATTATTATTTGCGTAACCACTTTAAAATGGCTTTTTGGTTGCTTTTAGTCAGAACACGTAAAGAAAACGACACGCATACAGCAAGATAATATACCGTACTGACCCGAATATAAGACGTTTTTTTTTCTTGGAAATACATCTGAAAAAACGTGGTCGTCTTATATTCAGGGTCTTGACTTTGACATGTCAATAATACACCCACAACAATAGGTGGCGCCAAATGCGCATAAAACGCCATGAAATACGTAAATGCGTGTTGTAAAGATCGCGACCAAACTCCCTTTGTGATTTTAAAACGTAAGACAGATTTGAAGATCAAAAAAATCAAAAAGATTTGAAGACTACAGTAAGATTTAACTTCTACTGTTAATAAGATTTTGGTAGGCTACTATGAGATGGATGGCCTAAATGTCCTAATTCAGATGGGCTACCTGTTTATTTTTTAATGGTATATCAAAAAGTGTATATTTTTTAAATGTGATTGTTGGTGCAGTTTACCAGTTTTTACCATACTTTCAAAACAAAATTTAAAATAGGAAAAATATGCAATATGAAAATAATTGAAGACAAAATGTGTTTTACTGAGAAAAAACAAGATTTGGTTTTTAAAAAGCCTTTTTCCAAAAGGTATATCTGGAAAAAGGGGGGTCGTCTTATATTCGGGCCAATACGGTAACTTCACTTACCTGGCCTATCACTTGAAGCAAACATCCATCCCATCCAAGCCGACTGCTGTAGCCTATATCCAGCTTAGGAATGTTCTCCCTTTATTTTTCATTTGTATATATACTGTTTGAATGACAGCTTCGTAAATCTGTTGGCGATCAAATATTCAATATCGCTACTCATAAGTACTTAGTACATTATCAGCGCAGCGGGACGTTCAAACTAATATCACGTGATTTGATATCAGAAAGGAGGCTAGCCTCCCCTACGAGGGTTCATTTCTCAACACTCCTCAGCACTGAAAGTGAACACTCGATGCTGATTGGCTAATTTTTTTTTACCAACGGAGGCACGAGAGCTCAGCTCTCCCCCGGCCTCCCCCTCCCCTTCTCCTAGTGGTTGAATTTTATCAGCAGATTCAGCACATTCGCAATAGAAAAGCAGCGCTTTCCAACTTCAGTAACATGTTATGGTATTACAGCTGTGAAATTATAAACAAAAAATATACATTCTGAGACATGAACTGAAATTAATTGTGAATTTTATTAACATTAAATCATCCTCCCATTTTCACCTCAAAATTTTGGGGAAGCTGTGCCTCCCCCGACGGGCCGC